CTTTCCCTTTCCTCTCTCTTCCTTCCCTCCCCCCCACATTTATCACCCAAGTCCAGTGTGAGATGTTCCAAACTCACGCCAGCCTGTTCCCCCCACAGCAAGAAAACATGGCATCAGCATGGGCGGGATACTTACTTTCCCTGAGGTAACTGAGGTGAGACAACAGAACTTCTGTGTTGTAGAGGGAGGTGGCTCGCAGGAAATCTTCTTTGTTCATTTTGCACAGTTCCTTGCCGTCCATGTTCTGGAAGAGGGACGTGTCAATCTCCATTAATCCGTATTCCTTTATAGCCCACTCCAGCCACTGGCGCACATGTTCCTGGGTCCACAAGGTGGGATCTGGTAGAAGAAGAGACCGTTGGTAAATATTATGCCCAAAGGGGGCAACCTGTCACAGGTGTGTCAGTCTAGATGAGCGATAGAGCACATTTCCTCTACACATCTCAAAGGAGGGAAGCATAATCAGCCCTGGTTTACACACGGGGAAACTGAGGCACAGAGCAGCAAGGGACTCACCCCTAGGGAAATAGTGAATCAAGAGCAAATTCACTTGGTTTGCACAATGAGCCACCTTTGCAGTGGCTGATTTATTATTTTCATCTGTGAATAAAAAGCCGTTGAAGAGATGTACTTGTCACACTGTCAGGGTCCTACATGCTGCACAGCTAGCTTTGTCAGGGATATGGAAGTCGCCCAGCCTGTCCTGAGTACATTACACACTCCAAACAGATGGCCTTTTAAATGCTGAGAAGGGTGGTTATTATGGTCAGCAAAAGGAATCTGAAAAATTCTTGCCTAGACAGCTCTGTTCCCCATGTACCTCTGAGATGTGTTTGCTGACTCAGCTGACAAACACAAGTTTTTAACCCCATTAGCCTTGCAAAACCAACATGGTAATTGAAGGGTGAGCTGGATTCTGTACCGTCTCATGCATCCCTGTCAATTGCCAGCTGAAGTCCAGTTGCAGAATTGTTATTAGCGGCAATGATGTAAAAGGCAGAGGGAATCCAGCTGGACGTATCCACACTCATGTGGAGAGTTCACAGGACCAGCAGTTACAAAAGGAAATTGTCCTGTGAGTTAAGGTGTGTGGGTTGGGTCAGAAGGTCCCAGAGAGAGTTAAATTTGCTGGCCCTTGATTCCATTTTTACAGACTCATTTTCAGAGCTTCTCAGCACTGGGCCTGTCTGTACATCTGGCACCTCTGTTCATGAGAGATCCTATTCAAATGCCTTTAGAGGAGCTGCACTATAGACTAGAACTTGACCACATGATCACATCTTAGCCGGCAATTTCCGCTTGTGACAGAACAAGAAATATCCAGCATCAGTTTTCTGCCTCTTCATCTCCTGGTCCCTCCAATGTCCAGAGCTGTGCAGCACAAATCATGGCTGGGTGGTTAGCACAGCTTGGGTGGGGGAAAGGTGAGACTGGGCGACAGCATCCCCTTATCCCAAGGGCTGCATCTGCTGGGTTTCAAGGCTGCTTCACACCAGAGTGAGACGGCAATGGAAAATCACTCCCAAAAACACAGAGTGAGCATTTCCTACCTTCTTTCTAAGAGAATCTGAGCTCTTCAAAACAGAATTTTAACCACACAATTTATCCTTCACTGTTTCATTGGCTTTTTGCATTGTTCTGAGTTTAGGCAATGAAAATACCCTGAGCAACTGCATTGTTTCCATCCAGTTTCTAATCATTTCACTTTCCCGTTCTGGAGAAAGTTGGCCTTCCGGTTGCAAATATTGAAGGGGAATGTTTATTTCGTTAGTTTGGAAAGATCCCTGCATTCCAGGCCCAGAGAGATCCGAGAGAATCCCTGAACTAGTTTTCCAAATCTCATGCGTGTTCATTAATAATGATGGGAGACTACTCTGGGGAGTTCCTTTGGGGTGTATCTCACCCCTCCCACCCTTTCTGTCCCTATTACAGATATCAAGCGTCAGTCCAAACAGTCCCTGAAAAACTGCCTTTGTAGCACATTATCCAGAGTTTACTGTCATTGCTGTGCCAGGCCATATATAATGGTATTTTTGCCTCTCTCCACTACAATGTGCTATCAATCTTTATTCTGTATTGGATTAAGCACTTCCAAATGCATTTCTTGGAAGAATTAGGCCGAGTCTTTTCCAAATGGAGATGTGGGCCAATGATTAACTAGCCATCTAGTTTATGCCTGTTTGCCAAGGGCCTGAGGTCTCTTGGTTTTGATTTGTGGATGCCTGAAAGTGGGAAATCCTCACTTTCACTTTCCCCTCAAAGAAAGAGGAGACATCAAATGACCTCTTCCTCTAATGCCTCTAAAATCCCTCCTTTCCATGTCATCCCCAGTGCTAATGACTTTGTTATGCAATACACAGATAGCAGGGTGATGAGCACTCTCTAATTCTCTCTTCTCACCTCCCGCAGCCTCCTTGGGTCTCCAATCTATGCTGTCCTATCTTGTCATCCTAATCAGCTCATTTGCCTTTCTGAGGGTGAAATTTACCCCTACAGAGGACTAATTTGGCTTGAATGAGACCTTGAACACAGGGGTCAATCTCTTATTGGCTTCCCCTCCCTTGCTCAATTCAGTTCAAGCAACTTGGCCTTATTCCAAGTGCGTTGGTCAGTTCATGAATTGAAAACAGAGCTAAATTAGGCAACAGCACTTAGAACCATAGAGTCATGGAATCACAGGGCTAGAAGAGACCTCAGGAGTCATCAAGTCCAGACCCCTGCCCAAAGCAGGACCAATCCCAACTAAATCAACCCAGCAAGGGCTTTGTCAAGCTGAGACTTAAAAACCTCTAGGGAATAGAGATTCCACCACCTCCTTAGGTAGCCCATTCCAGTGCTTCACCACCCTCCTAGGGAAATAGTTTTTCCCAATATCCAACCTAGACCTCCCCCACTGTAACTTGAGATCATTGCTCCTTGTTCTGCCATCCGTCAGTACTGAGGACAGCCTCGCTCCTTCCCCTTTGAAACCCCCCTTCAGGTAGGTAGCTTTCTGCTGATAAATTGGAGAGGATTCAGAGAAGAGCCACAAGAACGTGTAAAGGATTGGAGAACAGGCTCCAGAAGCCCCCTCTGTTCAGCTTAACAAAGAGAAGTCTAAGCAGTGTCTTGTCACAGGTTTTCTGTACCTGCATGGGGAGCAAAGGTTTGATAATGAGCTCCTCCATCTAGCCAGCAGAGGTATAACAAGAACTAGAGATTGGAAACTGAAGCTAGACAAATTCAGATTAGAAACAAGATGTGATTTTTTTAACAGTGAGGCGAATTAACCATTGCTACAACTGACTAAAGATGGGGATGGATTCTCCATCACGGGCCAGTTTGAAAAGAAGATTGGATTTGCTCTAGTTCAAGCAGGAACTGATCTAGGGAAGTCCTGTGGCCTGGCTTAGTCAGGAGGTCAGACTGGAGGAGAACAGTGGTCATTTCTGACCTTGGAATCTATGAATTTATAAATAGTCCATCGACTGCATCCTTCAGAATACAGGGGAATCCTGGCCCCACTAAAATCAATGAAAATATTGCCAGAGACTTCAGTGTGGGGGAGAATTTCTCTCATACACTGTGGCTACGTCTACACTGGCATGATTTTCCGAAAATGCTTTTAACAGAAAAGTTTTCCGTTAAAAGCATTTTCGGAAAAGCACGTCTAGATTGGCAGGATGCTTTTCTGCACAAGCACTTTTTGTGGAAAAGCGTCCGTGGCCAATCTAGACGCGGTTTTCCGCCAAAAAAACCCCGTTTGTTTTTTCTCGATC